GATATGATCCCTATGGCCGTGTAACTATAGGGGACCTCATCGTTCAAGACCGAGAGGTTATAAACTTTCTGAAAAAAGGACCAAAATATCGTCCACAGTCGAACATGAATTGGGAAGAATGTTGTCAGGTTTTTAAAGATGCTCTTTCATCCTATTGTAAACAAAATGGCGTAAACGGGAGAAATCTGACAAAAAGTCACGTAATTCCTATTTGAATAAATGTCTGAATATTGTTAATATTCGCATATCACATTTCGAAAATAATTTAGAAACAAATAAAAGAATAAGAAATACGCCAATTTCTAGGACTAAAACGAAAATTCAAGTACTCGCAAAGCGATTTGTGATCGAAACGACCGATAAAGCAGCCACCAATGTGGTGGTGGTAGGACAAATACTACACGTAAATCCTTAAGAATGAAATTATACATTCAACTACATACAAGGCCGTACGCCTCATAGAGAGTCATATAGTAAATACTCATGTCAAAACCACAGCTCGCCTAAGGCCTCTGCTGAACTTTTGAAGGTACCCACTATGTATTGGTTACCTAAACTACACAAAAACCCGTAAAATATCGTTTCATCTCGGCCTCTTGTAAGTGTTCTACTACTAGACTTTCAGTGCTTTTAACGAGTTCCCTAACTTCTATCAAAGAACTGATAATTATTTTGTGTAATAAAACATATGAAAACAGTGGAATTAACCATATTTGGAGTGTAAATAATTCTTTAGATGTTTTAGACACATGACGAGCTTTAGATGGTCCGTTTGATTCGGTTGACAGTTTTGACTTTTACTCTCTTTCCACACAATCTTATCAAACAAAAGTTTTCTTACTCAATTAAATGGTCGTTCGATAAATCTGGTTTCAAATCTATTTGATTCAACTCATATAAAGCCTTTTCTCAAACGAGAAAGCTAAATATGCTAGATATACTTATCGGAAGTGTGATGAGATGATTAAAGCCATAAATGTTCTACTTGACAAAATGTATGTACGTTTCGGCCATTAAGTTTATCGACAGATTGTAGGTATTCCTATGGGTACCAATTGTTCCCGCTTAATAGCACACATGTTCCTGTACTGTTATGAATCACATTTTATGGCCAAACTCAGTAAAGACCCGTCTAAATTCCATTTAATTGATAAATCCAACAACACTTATTTTTTCATTAAATAATCAAAAATTCTCTAAATATACTGCCGAAATTTACCAACAGGAACTTACCTTAAATAAATCAAATATTAACAGTAATAAGTGTTCTTTCCTAAATTTAGACATTTCGGTTTTACACCAGAAACTCTACACGAAATTTTACGACAAAAGGGATGATTTTCCTTTCCCTATTGTTAATTTTCCTTTTTTGGACGATGATGTCCCTCTGGCACCATCTTACGGTGTTTATATACCCCAACTTGTTCGTTATGCCCGTGTCTGTAGTGACATGTGAGATTTCAATGACGCGATCTCCGTATTACTGGTAAATTATTAAGTCAGGGATTTTGTTACCACAGCTTACTTAAAACATTTACTAAATTCTTCCATAGATACAAAGATTTGTCTTGCAAATGTGGCTGTACCTGTAGAAAACTTATTTCAAACGGAATTGCACATCCTAAATGTTACGGTAATGTGATTAAACGAGCCCGGAAATTTAGATACGATCCGGGTAAACTTATCAATCCTTGAAATAAATGTATTCTAAAAGGTTACCTATTCAAGACTGTAATTAAATCTTTGAATTTTTTTTTATTGGTATAAATATTGATTTAGTTTCAGTAAATTAAAACCATACTAAATGTTACACATATGTACTTTCAAACAGAAAAACCAACCGTCTAATCTATATAAGAAACCAGAAAGGAGAAACACTTATGAGCGACACCAACAAACAAAAATCACTGAACAAAAGGCTACTGACTTAAGTTTTTTTGTAGTTAGGGATTAGGATGGATATATACTCATCCACTTCACTATTTTTGTTTGATGTTTTTCTTTGTATCGATCTGATGAGTTAAACCTTTTTCAACTGATTTTTATTGTTTGTTATTATGTTGTGCTGTTACACCACTTTCCCAGGTTAGGGGGTTGGTTGAGCGCTCACAAACATGTTTAACCCCGCTACATTTTTTATGTGCCTGTCCCAATTTAGGAGCGTGTAGTTCAGTGATTGTCGTTGGTTCACGTCTGTCATATTTGTTTTTTGTAAATTGTTTTGTTATAAATTAGGCCGTTAGTTTTCTCAGTTGAATTGTTTCATATTTTTCATGTAGGGGCCTTTTATAGCCGACTATACGGTATGGGTTTTTCATTGTTGAAAGCCGTACGGTTGCCTATGATTGCTTGCATTCGCTTTATTTGAACTTTGTTGGGTAGTTGTCTCATTGGCAATCATACCTCATCTCTTTATATTTAAGTACCAAGTCAGGAATATGGCAGTTGTTATTATATAGTTCGTTTCTATGTATGTTGGCGTTTGTTTTTGTAGCAGTTCAGTGTTTCTGTTGTTCCGTTTTGTTTCCTCTTATAGTTGATGTGTTTCCCTCAGTTTTGGTTTGTGAACTGGATTTGTTTCAGTTAGTTCGATTTATGACTATTGAACAGCGGTATAGTACTATTGCCTTTTTTTATAAAGGTGTGTGGTCTATTAGAAATTAGGAGACTACTATATATTGAATAATGATACATTGATTTTTTTAATCGAGATTGCGGATGGAAATGTGTTATTTTTGTTTAAATTCCAGGTAGTCTGACGTTCAGTGGTACCTCATCCATACATCACCAGGACTTAAACTAGTTAAGATGATATATACAATCGTTAATTTTTTTTTAATGGGCAAGAGGCCAATGATGAAGACTGTAAACTGGTAAAGAGCCATATAAACCAACGAAACAACTTTTCGGTGGTTATACAAGGATCGACCACTACGTCCGGCCGTCAGTCTTTCTGTCTGTGTTTCTGTACATTGACTTTGTAAGCGCAAAATCCTCCTAAAAGGATACACAAATATTGAAAAAATACATTACCCAGTTTTGTAGAACACTACATTAGGATATGCACAAAGGAAGATAATCCCGTCGGTTCCATACTTTGAAGGGGAGATACTCGAATTTACTTTCTTCAATACATCGAAAGTGGTACGAGGCGGGGTATCATTTTGTGAGTTCAACCACAGGCTTAGACCAGAACAGACCCGAGGGGTATCAATGCATCTCACATACGGCACATGGGTCTTGCACCACGAAATACATGGCATGATATCACACAACCAACCGGATCTTCGCTGAAAATATGCATCGACTGAACTGCACACTTGAACATACGGTATGGTCATGGATCAGTGTTAAAGGCCAGTTCCTCCGTTTTGTTGTTTATATCCTCTTCCTTTTGTTCATGAGAAACAACCGTCTATTTATGAAGACTGCAAAATGACCTTTTGATGTCTGTATCTACTTTGCGTAGATGAGTTACCGTTTTGTTGAGGTCAACTTCATATCTCCTGGGATTACCAATAAAATATGTCGTCTACAGATAATGTGTGATAAATTCATTCGTTCTTCCTCATACTAACTATAGTTTTATAGGAGCAAGATGTATAAATACATTTTACAAAGACAGACCCACATCCGATAAGATTGTGTTCGAATATATCATATATACTATTATATAATATTCACACATTTTAATTTAAATCTTGCATACCCACATGCAGCCATCATTAAAAGCCACAATTACATTTTACAGAAATACCTCATCAATTCAACACGTAAACCTACATTTTGAATAACAACACGAGTATTACTTTATTCATGACATTATCGAAGAACCACTCTATTAATAAGAAGGTAATACGACATTTAACTTAAACATGTGAACAAGTAAAACAAAACGATTGTTTTCATTATTAGCTAGAATACCCCGGTGGTTACCATCAAATACAGACAATGTTATAATGAATAAGTTTAGATATCAAATGAAATGACACGATAATTGTATATTGAACTCTCTGGTGTTTTTTGTTGTTTTTTTTTATATGAGTTTAGTTCCTATTGTTACCTATCCTTATTTCTCCTGTCTATAACAATAAGAGGAAATGCAAAACCTAATTGGATATATTTCATAACTTTGATTTAATATTTTTCCACTTATAGATTGTATTAGAAGAAACAATAACAGTGTATTGGAAGAGTTCCTGTCGTTTTTTGTGACGTGATACTGCCTTCAAATTCTCGATAAAAGAGAGGCAAGAGATGCCAAAGGAACAATCAAACTCACTAGTCGAAAATAAACTGACAACGCCATGGCAAAATAAGAAAAAGACCAACCAACGAACAACAGTACACAAAATGTTTAAAAAATAATGAAAAGGCTCATATCAAATAATTGTAAAACACATAGACATACCACACACCAAAACACTTTCATAAAAATATTTTGACTTTTCTGCATTAAAACACTTTTTATCAAAGCAGAGTCATTTATATCTATAGATTCGATGGTTTGTTGAGTGTTTCTTAACTATTAGGCGTGTGTGTTAGTTTTGACAGAAAACCCCTAAAACACGATTTCATTTAATCTAAAGATGGATAGTTTGATATGATTATTAAAATCTTATTCACCAAAATATCAAGTAAATTTCCGTACATGAAGTTGGCCTCGTAAACGTTATTTTGTATTTACAATAAAAGCAATTAACATTATGAAGTATTATTTCAAAAGATATCATTACAAAAACCGGTTCTTTCAGATTACAAATAAAGAAATTTTAACCAAAAAAGCTTACGTTAAACAAGTTGTCTTTTAAAAATGCTGACAGATCAATTTAAAAATGCTGACAGATCTTTTTTTAAGGAATACACGATATTTTACAATTGATCTCGTTTTATGTAAAGGAACAAAAGTATCAATTAAAATTTTTACATAACAGTATAATTCTTGTATCTCAAAAATCAGAAATTTTAATATAACCTACTTCTAAAAACGGTGATTTAAATTTTCTCCTTTGTGGTGAAATGCGTTTTGACTAAGGTAAGTTGTTGATATAGTTTTATTGTATGCAATATTTATTTTGTTTTTATATAAAAATGATAATACAAATCCTTTGGTATAAGCATTAACTTAACCATGTTTAAGTGTTTATCTGTAGTATTAATATATCATCGTATCCCTTATATTTCATTGCAGAATATTTAGATTTTCCACATCACGGAAATCAGTTTTTACAAATAAATGGTAAAGCAAGAAATATTTTTAATACATTGAGCGAACCAACAAACACCAAGAAATTTAATACATTTATTTTATATTTTTCTTTAAAATGGTCATCTTTACTAACATTGTGTGTTCATAGTCCAAGAGGTAGGTAAACATGTTTAATTATTATTATAATACCATACACATTAATTATCTCTTCCATACATGGATAAAGTATCAATACATATTTAGTTTGTAATAACTGATAGACCTAAAGAGTTCGCTGCCTTAAAAAATCGTATACAGCATACCCTCTTGCCAATGGTAGTCCGAATGTTCCGCCTTTTGTCACAGTCGGCCTATTGTATTAATTGTTAATTGATTCTCGTTCTAAATGTGCATGAACTAGTTGTATCCCGGACGATGTTAAAATAAACTCAACCAATATAAGTAATATATAGATTGAATGAGTTATCTAATTTTAAATGGGTTTTTTTTGTTATCTTTGTTATTTGTACTTTCAATTTTTCTATATTTATTAATCTTCTGCCTGATCTGAATGTAAGCGAAAACACTCAATCATTCAAAAACGGCTATTACTAAATACACTGAATAAATGTATACATGATTTAGATTGAATGTTGATTGTTTAATTCAAAGCGCTTTTCTTGATTTATCTGCACAAGCAACGCTCAAACCCCAAAATTGAGAGCTAAGGATGTTTTACTTGATGAATTAAACGACAAAAGAGAACTTAAAAGGAATGACCAAAACTGCGTAAGATCTACATTGCCTTAAGTCATTGAATATTTTCTTTTTTTTTTTTGCCGAGTAGCCGAGTTCAGTCAAATCTGAGTAAACTTTCAATTTCTTTGTAAAATAGGAAAAAGCAATCCCAGTTCCCCTCTAAACCCTTTGAAAAATTGTATCATGTAATCCGGACCGTGTGTTTTCCTACAATGAAAAAGACAATGATGATCACATTTCACTGTCAGATAGAATGGTATTGTATGACAATGTTTCACAGAGGATCGAATGTTTGATATTCAATAGGCTACACCATCGGTGGAAACGTACGAAGGAAAATTCAAGCATCCAAAGGATTCGGACGCTAATTGAAAGTGAAAATGAAGCTGATGAGTTTGAAGCTGATGAATTAGGGACCGATTTTACAAAAATGGATATAAAAAAAACGTTTGATATACGATTTCTTTCTTCAAATTTGAAAGACGAACTTTTTTGCAATTTCAAATACATATGAATTTGTCACTCAGAACTATCATGCATAGTAACTTGGCGTACGGACAGGGAAGAATTGACATGTTCCTTTTCGAACACTAATACACACCATGACTCAACCTGTAATTAAAATATTTTTCACCATTTCATTATTAGGTTTTGTTCACAATGAGACATAACAAATGCATGCAAATTATTTTCTCGGCAAATTGCAAACCTAAATAAACCGACAAACAGTCCAAACCGGTCCATTTAAATAGTCTAATAGCCGGCTGGCGTATGCAGGTTTTACTGTAAATATAAAACATAATTTTTGAATGACTACTTGTCCATGTTCACTTTTATTTGACGATTTTGGTTATTATCAGGTCCTTGATCATTTAATGATAGATTATCTGAAAATCTGTCAGAGTATTGAAAATGTCCTTCATTGCAGTCAAAATAAATGAAATGTAAAAACAAATATACAAAAGATATATCTAGTCAATCATGTCTAAAGACAGAAATCAAATATTTGAAACAGGGCAAATAATTATTTTCCTTATGTGTGTATTATAAAGAAAAATTTTCTTAATCGATTGATGATAAGATAACTTTTTTTTCATGAGTTCAACACCGATGGCCTTTGTTAAAATATCGTGTACACACCAACAAGTACATAAAGCTGAACGGTATCTAGCCAAATTCACTTAAAAGGAGAACGAAGAATTTGAATCTGCTTTTTCTACATAGAAAGGGTCTAACAATGAATAGTTTCCCGCAATGTATGGTAGACACAGTTTTATATACTCTTAAGTTGACGAAATGTCTTGAAGAGTAAAATGAAATCTTTAAAAAAGGAAAATGCTTATGTTTACGAAAAAGGGTTGATTAATAATGTATCAAGAACCTTTTTATCAAAGAAAGCAAATAATATCTGATAACGGAAAATCATAAATGTTGGAATATTGGAAGATACAAATAACAAAGCTCAGATCAGTACACCTTATGACAGAAATTTAAACTCTTCTTTACAAGATATTTTTCATTTCTTTGTTTGTCATGTTATGTAATGCCGATTGAAATATGTTTCTTCAAATTTTCCTTTTTATCATATCAGAATATGGAGAAAAAAATGTAAAAACCAAAAAAACACCATTACAGACCCGAACATGTTTTTGTCTTTACAATCACATAGATATAAACAGATGAGGTATGAGTGCCAATGAGACAACTCTCCATCGAAGTCACAATTTATAAAATAAACCCATTATAGGTCAGAGTACGGCCTTCAACACGGAGCCTTGGCTCACATCGAACAGCAAGCTATAAAGGGCCCCAACAAATAACTAGTGTAAAACCATTCAAACGGGAAAACCAACGGTCTAATCTATATAAAAAACGAGAAACGAGAAACACTTAAGAACCACATCAACAAACGACAACTACTGAACATCAGATTTCTGACTTAGGACAGGTGTAAACAATTGCAGCGGGTTTAAACGTGTTAATGGTCCTAAACCTTCACCCTTATCTGAAGCAATAGTGTAACATCACAACATAGAAAGACACACTATAAAATATCAATTGGAATGGTTTAAATCAATCAAAAGACGTAGTAACACAAATAAATATACACAGAACGAATACATTTGATCTATGATACAATGTAAATACAAAATTAATGGTATTAAGGGATGAATAATAAGAGTAAAAGTATTATACCGCTGTGAAATGTTAAAAAATGTCAGAAAAACATCAACCTTGAAAATAATTCCGCCATTTGCAATAATTTTATACACAGGTAAATAAAAATAATTTTGTTGTTAGGTATACTTCTTCTGTCTGTATAACCTTCCGTTTAGGAACACCAAGAAATTTCTTGTAATAAAATTATTCTAAACCTTGGTACATGCGGGGTGAATATCAACAATAAAACTATAAAATTGGTGCTCGTTAAAACTTTGTGTTCTTCATGTATAGGTGCCAGGAGTGTGATGTAAATAGAGTATAAAAGGAGAAAGGAAATAATTTTGATGTTCATAGTACGAAGAAGTGAAAATTTATAGTAATTCCAAACACTTATCAAAGCTGATATATAGACCAGATATAACTCTGAATAAGTAAGCATTAAAGCAACAAAAAAAGCATTACAAATAGTATCAACAGGTCAAATTAACAAGAAAGTACGATTTGAGAGTACTCGCAGTTACTGACAGCTAGTTAAAAGCCAAAACAATTAATAATAAAAAATTCATGCATCAGAGACTAAAATCAACTAAAACACTTCCAAGAGATTTAGAATTTCATGGACAGTCAAAGAAGAAATGACATGTGCAATGCCAAAAATAAATGTATCGACAGGCAGTAGGATAGTTAAGAGTTAACCTCTTTATAGATAAAATGAACGTGGATGTGTCTTTATAAATCCCGTTTGAAAAGCATACAAATTTAGTTATGTTTCAATTTGCTGATGACAAAATCGATATTAGTGCCAATGTAAACTATATTCAAAGATCTAATTACAACATTGGTAAGATAACCTTTACTTATAAGTTTGTTTAAAGGTTCGATGAGTTAACTCGGATGTCATAGTGATTTCCGCGCTTTTAGTACAATATTACCGTAAAATTGAGGATGTGAAATACCGTTTTTAATAAGTTTTCTACAGGTACAGCCAAATTTACTACCCAAATCTGTATATCTATGAAAGAATTTAGTAAAAGTTTTAAGTAATATATGGTAACGAAATCCCTGATTTAATAATTACCAGTGATGCATTGATTCGTTAAAATATATGACATCACTACACACACGGGCATAACGAACCAGTTGGGATAAATAAACACCGTATGATAGAGCCAAAGGAACATCGTCGTCTAAAAAAGGAAAATTAACAATAGGGAATGAAAAATCGTCTCTTTTTTCGTAAAAATACGTATGTTTTAACATTTAGGGCCTCGATGGTCGGCTGTTTGTAGTTGTACAACTACTGTATCACTATAGCCTGAGGTTTTTAGTATGAACTTACAAGTGGCAGGTGCACACGACTCCAATCTGAATTGACAAAGATTGTCAGGTTTCCTGCCGAAGTTCGTATGTTCTCTCCGGGCATTTCGGATTCCTCCACTAATAAAAGCTGACCACCAATAGTGATGAAAGAGGCGTTAAACACCAAATAATAAATCAATCAACTAGTCAATTTCAACCAGTTCGTATTCATAATAAGCGTTTATGAAGCGATTAATACAAATAAAATTGGTAAATTAATAGGAAAATTGTTTATTTGAGTTATACTGCCTTTATAAAACTCACAAACAAATGTAACTAAGCATATATTGAAAGAAAAAAATAACCTGACTACTGGAGATATGCTTATACTTAAAATAGGAAAAAAAATGACTTCTACATGTACAATGCTTTCAATATATTGTTTATTTTATTATTTTACTGAAAAATGAATCAGACGGTATGGTTAAATATTTTAGGTATGTCATTTATTTTAGTATTGTCATTATAATTAAACGCTTTAAAACTTATCAAAGCATTAGAAGATTCTTTCGCATTTAAATATTTAACGAAAGTGTAAAATTCTAAAATATTTATAATTTCAACAA